TGAAGGCAAGATCGCGCGCAGCTCGGAGCGCTTCAAGGAGCTGACCCCCAACTACAATCCCGACATCATCTTCAAGGACGAGGAGAACACCGGCGCCGACCGCCTCATGACCCAGGTGAGCGCGACCCGTCCTCTCAGGGCGCCGCTGCCGAAGCACCGCCACCTGCCTGGCCCTACCCGCCCCCTGGCACCTTTCCTTGACTGGCTGGCACGCCCCCTGGCACCTGCCCCTCTCACCAAGCCTAGCTGCCTCCTGCCCAAGATGGGCCGGCCGGGGTCCCGGCGGAGTGTTGGCATCCCCAAGCCTGCCGGAGGCTGTGAGAAGAGCTCCCCACTGCCAAGCGCCACAGCCTAGCCGGTTGACGGTGGCCCTCTGCCCCGGAGTGCTAGCTGCTCAGGTCAGACGCGGCACCCGGAGGTACCTCTACCCGACTGCCTCCTGCGCCTCCGGGACGCACCAGTTCCTCCCAGCCTAACCTTCCGCGCAGCTGCGCCCCTTTCATTTTGAGGTCATTCGGCACCCCTGAGGCGAAGACGCTCCGGGCACTGAGGGCCCCACTGTCCTATCCTCCCCGCGCGCTCTCGGTTCGCTGCGCTGCCTTCTCCTGGAGTAGCGTCCCGGCGGGGTCTGGGTTTAAGGAACAGCGGGAAATAGTAGAGCCAGGACGCGGAGATGGAAAAGGGAACTTGCCGGACGAGCCCACGTGTCTGTTCCAAGAGCTGAGCGGCGCAGCTGCAGTTGAAGGATGGCGTGCCGGGCCACGGGCTCTGGGACTGGACTTGGGGGATCCCTAGGTTTGGTGGCGGGAATGGATTGAAAGAGAGGGGCTGGCATACCTGGCAGCCCCAAAGCAGAGCTAACGTTAGTCTCTACGTGCTCAGAACAGAACCGGAGCTCAGCCCAAGCTCCGGGAGGTATTGGGGGTGGGAGCACAAACTTTCTTCCCTGCAGCCGGGATCGCAAGGGAAGAGACCTACGTCCCCTTCTTTAGTAGTCTCCCCGGGGCTTCCACCGCAGGCAAACAGCCTACTTTTCTAGGTGCTTTAGGAAGGGCAGCTAGACCACAGCCCTCAGCATGCACCCTGGCGCCGGGGCTGACCGACCAGTGTCGGGGCGAAGGTTGGCTGGTGGCCGGGCGGGCCAGGCGCCGAGGAATGCAGATAAGGATCCGGGCCACGGGCTGGGCAATCATTGACAGCGCGCGCCCGGGCTCTGGACCCGAAGAGGGGGTGGGGGGGAGAGGGCGGGGAGCAGGGGCCGCGGGGTGGACATAGGTGGGTGGCTGGAAGCCTGGCGGCAAGAAGCACGCAGAGTTCCTCCCCGGGCAGTGAGCGCCCCCAGCTAGATTGCAGCCTGGGAGGACCGACTGGGCCTTGAGTTGTAGCTGCTGTGGGCTCCTGGGAGACGGAGTCCAAGGGTCTGTGGGGCCCAGACTCTGAGGGATGAAGGTAGGTTGAGACATGGGCTGCCCACACTCTGCAGCACCTGGCACCTCAGAGTCAAGAACTGTAGAGGGGCCCCTTTTCCCCTACATCCCTTCCCCTAGTCAACTGCGGGGTCCCTTGGGCTCCAGGCATGCAGGGAGCCAGCACAGGCGATGATCTTTGTCGTCCTTCTCCCTGGGCGCAGCTCGACTCCCACTCCATGGGAGCTGGAGCGTGAAGTCGGCTCCCTGAGGTCAGACGCTGTTTCTCCCATCCCTTCCCAGAAATGGGCGGCTCAGAGGTGCGAGGGCTCTGAGCTCAGGGAGGTCCTAGGTTTATCAACGTTACCTGGGTTTATCAACCCCCAGCGCACCCCTTGCAGCTGCAAGTAGCTCTTAGTCGTCCTTCTCCTGGCCCCAGACCAGGAGCTAACCTTTACACCAGCTTCTGGTTCCCAGGCTGCTGCCTTCCCCACGTGGGTGCCGGCCAGTTTTGGATCATGAGGGTCCCAACAGTAATGCTCTGTGGCGCCGAAGGATCCAGGCAGGCTTGGGATTCCCCTCCAACACACCCCCAGGCTGCTGAGGCGCTCCGCACCTGCCGCGCCCGGGCGCTTCGTGAGACAGCCCTGGGGCTACGGTGACACCTACTGGGCACCTCGAGCTTTGCACGCCAGCAGGTCGGCCGCAGGCAGTCAGTTCCCCTACCAACTACCCTTACCCTCCAGGCTGCAGACAGTCCCTGGCCTGGTGCCACAGTGAGGCAGAGGGACCTGGCGCTCAAAAGGTGGAGCCCTGTCTGTGGAGGGATCAGTAACCTGAGAGAAGAGAGGGCACTTAGAGAAAAGCAGCCCAAGGATGAACGGATCGACGCGCCCTCCAGATTTGTGGCTCCACCGCGCTGTCCAGGTGTCTGGGGCAGTCGATGCTAGGATGGAAGCAAGCACGTGGAAGCACGTTAGGGTTCTCTGTTTCTGAGAGAGAGGGATAGAGCACCCTCCCCGGTTTCCCAACTCCAGAGAGTGCGGTAGGAGAGTGAGGCTGCGCGGACTCATGCACGCAGGCCAGCTCCTCCCCGTAACTCCGATCGCTTTCCTCTTGCAGCGCTGCAAGGACCGTCTGAACTCGTTGGCCATCTCGGTAATGAACCAGTGGCCCGGGGTGAAGCTGCGGGTGACCGAAGGCTGGGACGAGGACGGTCACCACTCGGAAGAGTCTCTGCATTATGAAGGCCGCGCAGTGGACATCACCACGTCTGACAGGGACCGCAATAAGTATGGACTGTTGGCGCGCTTGGCAGTGGAGGCCGGCTTCGACTGGGTGTATTACGAGTCCAAGGCACACGTGCATTGCTCCGTCAAGTCCGGTGAGCCGCTGCCGGGGGGCTGGGCCCGGGGCCGGAGCCGTAGGGCGTGGGCAGGCGGTGCAGGGCCCACTGGGGCCAAGAAGGTGAAGAGGCCCGCCCGGGGATGGAGGCGGGGACCCCGGGGAAGAGGACGTCGGCGGCGCTCCCCGCTGCTGCTTCTGACCACCTGCTGGACCCGTGCCTGATAGTGTCATGGCAGGAGCCTAGGGAGACAGGGCCCTGTCCCAGTGATGCTGGGTGCTGACCTGGCGGTCCACAGTCCAGAGCTGGCCGCAAGAGATGCAAGACAGAGCAAGCTGGACAGATGGAGGAAGCCAGGCTGGCAGAGACAGCCTCCCCACTCAGTGTGGTGCAGAATGGAGGCAGGTGGTGGGACCAGGGGCCAGGGTGTGCCCAGATACCAGCATGCCTGACAAGGAGCCAGGAACCCAGAGGGTCAGAACCCATAGCCTGGCTGGAAGTCAGGCCCTTAAGGCACTATGTGCGCTCCTCTCAGGGGGCACAGGCGTCCCCAACCTCTCCCCCAGGGCCCTGAAGCTGGACATTTGGGGGCAAAGCCAGTCATGAGGGCAAGAATAAACAGAGTGGACTTAATAAAGTGGATTTTCCCAGATTGGCCGCCTGGTTGATTAGAATTGGCAGGCACTGGGGCCTTGCCCCCTCCCTCAGATCTTGTCAGCATCCCTATCACTGGCACTGAACCCAGTCATGATGCTTCATATGGTTTCTGTGTGAATGCCAGCATGGGGTCCCCTGGCTGCAGACTCAGCTCTCCACACTGGCACCATGCAGTGGTCACACTCACAGACCCAGCATACTGAGACCAGGCCCACCTTTTCCTAGTCCTGATCCCACCTGGGCTTACAGTGGTGACCCCACCCTGACCCTTCCCTTCAGTACTTCCCTGCCAACTGTATCTACTTCAAGTCACATTGACCCTTCACCTGCAAACATCAGCCCAGTGCCAGCTCCCAGAGTGGCCACTGTCCTTGAACATTCTTGTCCCCCAAACACTGTTCTCAATCCCGCTCACTGATGCCATTGTGTCCCTGCACAAGGACCCAGCTCATGAGTTGAAGATGATGATTTCACCCTTGCCACCGAACCATGCCCTGGCCTGACCCTTCACTCCGAGTTTCCCCAGGAGTCTGTATTCTCACCACTGGCTGGTCCTCCTTTCACTTCTGTAGACTCCAGGGGCCAGTTTTAGGGTGAACTTGGGGTGCCAGTCTGGGAGGGCAAGTTTTGGGACCATTTGAGCAAGCGGGTGAGAAATAATGGGACATTCAGACCCCAAAGGAGCTAAATGACTTGCTGTCTCCACAAGGCTACAGCTTTCGGGTGTCAAGTCACAGCTGACTACTGCCTGGCTCTCAGAGTGCTTCATAGGATTGAGAGCAGATGGGGGGTGCTTCACCTGGGCTTCAAGAGGGCCCTTTCCCTCACACTCACTGGGTCATGGAGCCCCCAAATGCACCTCTGTATTGGCAAAGCATGAGACTGGGGAGGAGAACAGACGATCACACTGTGGGCTGAGGGTTGGTTCAAAGCTGTATGGAAAGTGGGGGGCAGGGGACAGGATATTGTGCTGGGCAGGGGCAGCCTGGGAGCAGGAGGCACTCTGGCTGGGCTGGGGAGGGATGCTGTGACTAGGAATCTGAGCTCATAGCAGTAATGCCTTCATATCCTTTCTTCCCACAGAGCACTCAGCTGCGGCTAAGACAGGTGGCTGCTTCCCTGCTGGAGCCCAGGTGCGCCTGGAGAGTGGGGCACGTGTGGCCTTGTCAGCCGTGAGGCCAGGAGACCGAGTGCTGGCCATGGGGGAGGATGGGAACCCCACCTTCAGTGATGTGCTCATTTTCCTCGATCGAGAGCCAGACAGGCTGAGGGCCTTCCAGGTCATTGAGACTCAGGACCCCCCACGCCGCTTGGCCCTCACACCTGCCCACCTGCTCTTCACGGCCAACAATCACACACAACCAGCAGCTCACTTCCAGGCCACATTTGCTAGCCAGGTGCAGCCTGGTCAGTATGTGCTGGTGGCTGGGGTGCCCGGCCTGCAGCCTGCCCGAGTGGCAGCTGTCTCCACACATGTGGCCCTTGGGGCCTATGCCCCATTAACGAGGCATGGGACACTGGTGGTGGAGGATGTGGTGGCCTCTTGCTTTGCAGCCGTGGCTGACCACCACCTGGCTCAGTTGGCCTTCTGGCCACTACGACTGTTTCACAGCTTGATGTGGGGCAGCTGGACCCCAGGGGAGGGTGTGCACTGGTACCCCCAGCTGCTCTACCGCCTGGGACGCCTCTTGCTGGAAGAGGGCAGCTTCCACTCACTGGGCATGGCCGGGGCAGGGAGCTGAAAGGATCCCTCCACTGCCCTCCCAGAACTGCCCAAATGGATCCAAAGGTCTCCCCGCCAGGAGGGCCCTGGCCCTGGAAGGGACCTGGGTGGCGACACTGGTTCCTACCATCTCCTCTACCACAGAGATACATCATTGAGACTTGACTGGGCCATGCCAGCGTCCCCCACCCCCATCTTGGTGTAGTAACAGAGCTGCAGGCTGAGCAGCCAATGGGCTGTGGTCTCTTCTTCTACCCTAGAGACCAGTGGGTCCCAACCCAGTCAGCTCTCACTACGATTTTTCATACCTGCCTCCCTCAATGGAGAGGGCTCATTCCATCCATCTTAGGCCCCTCTTAGGTGGGCTTGCACCTCAGTTGATGCTGCTAGATTCCCTGGGAGCCAGCAGGGAGCTGGCTGGACTCAATGCTGCCCGGAACTGAGAAGGCTGTAGGGTGGGGCAGCCAGCCTGGCCATCCTGAGGCATGATCTTCCTTTCTGGCCACACTCCTCAAGACACACCCACAGACTGTCGCAGTCAGTGTACAGAATTCTGTGTTCCAGCCAATGTGATCATGGTGCCCAGGACCGGGGGAGTGGGCTAGATGTCCTGCCCACCCTTGCCCACCCCCACCCAGGCCATATGCTCCCTCTTCTGCTGAACCATGACCCCCACCCCTCCTCCGGTCAGTCTCCCCCACCTTATTTATTGGCGCCGAGGGGAAATCCATGGGAAAACTTGGGGGATGTTTTGCTCTTTTCTTCCTTTTGTAATAAAAGTTATTTAAGTTGTTAGAGCCATAGAGTCCAGGATGCTGCATAGGGCCAATCCACAGATAGTTTGGAGCCATGAGTGGGTCTGTCCAGGGGTGTGCTTAACCTTCCTCCAAGGACAAAACCCCCAAAGCTCCCACCCTCTCTGCAGGCCCTTTCTTACCCAGTAGGTCTATAAAGTCTCAACAGAGAACTGTGCCCTGTGCCAGGTAAGGCCTTGAATGTTCACCTGAAAGTTTGCCCTAAACACGGTTAGACCACAGAGAGAACTGATGTAATCAGTCCATGGTCACTTCATTCACCTAGAACCATCTCCTTGTACCCTAGTTAAGGTGCTTTTCCTGCTTATTCCAGTCCTTCTCAGGGCCTGGGTTTCTGATTTTTCACTGTGGATAATGAATTGTGATCTGAAGAGATTCTGTAGAATTCACAGCTGCCTTATGGCCCATCCTGACTTCTTAGATAATCTAGCAGTTCTCAAACCTCAGAATCACCTGGGCAGCTTGTTTAAAAATGATTCCTGGTCCCACTTCCAGGATTCTGCTTTAATAGATTCAGATCAAGGCCCAGGACCTTATTTTCACAAATACCCCAAACATGGAAGATGGCCCATGGACCACATTTTAAGAAACATTGCGTAGTCTAAAGGACACCAGTTTATTGCCAAGACAGGATGGATTCCCCTCCCTCTTCTTCATTTTCTCTTGGTTTCTGCAACCCAAGGCAGGTTTTTCTGTACTCATTATAGATCAGCTGAGATCCCCAGGTCCATTGATACAATTGTTAAATTTTTAGGAATATCATGAGGCAGTTGAAATAGGCCATGGTGGGAGTATTTACACCATAGGAATTGGCATAGACTACAAATTAGGGCTTCCCTGACCACGGAGAGCCATTTGCTACAGCACATTTCTCCCCATGTTCAATCCTATTGCGGAGATTTCTGTGTTGGAAGTGAGGGGGTGACTGTTCAGGCCCTTGCCTTACCCATTCCCCCCTCCATGGAGGAAAACTCCAGAGAAAAAACTTCATTGCTTAGAGACTGTGTCATCTAGGAAGAATAGCCCCTCCCCCTCCTCCAGAGGCTATGATGACAACTGCTATCATTTAATGAAGACTAACCTTTGCCAGGCATTGTTCTAAGCGCTTTACATGTAGCCCCCACTTAATTTTCATAACAACCCTATGTGGCATATACTGTAATATTACCATTTTCCTGATGAGAACACAGAAGCACAGGGAGGTTAAGTAACTTGCAAGATTCTATAGCAAGTGACAGAAACAGGATTTGAACCCTTGCCTCTGGCTCTGGTCCACTGTTCTTACCACAAGGCCTTTCCCTTGGTGAACTTGGGTCCTTTCCAGAAGGTACTCTCATCATTTCAGGACCAGAAATCTGCTTTGTCTGACCATCTAGAGTAGTCTCATCACTTTGTGGCAGACTCTCATGGACCAGGCTTGCAGGGACCAGAACATCTATGAACTCATTTGTAGTGAGAAAGTGAGGCTTTCCCCTAAAGGGGTCAATTTGCCTCTCCTACAGGGTCTGGGCACACTTTGTCCTGCAGACACAGAGCCATTTGGTGTCCCTAGACCTTTCTGTTCTATATGAGCCTCCTCAGGAAACACATTTATTCTTCAGACAGAGATGGCTGCCAAAGAGTCAGAATTCAGACTCTCAAAAGACCAACCTCAAAGGTGGCAGGGAGCAGCACAGGGAGACGTACGTCCACACTATATGCTGAGTGTTGTGGCTGACATCTCACAGGGGCAATGGGAGTAATGCTGGGAACTAAGAAGACTTCAGAGGCAAGGATGCTGCAGGTCAGGCAAGGAGGAGTTTGCACAGCAGGTAAGTAAAGGAAGGGATCCAGGCTGAGGATACAGTAAATGCAAAGACTCGAAAGAACCAGCATCAGGTCAACGTCTCAAAGCTATCTGGAGCAGGTGGGGTTGGCAAAACTGATGTAGAGATGTAGCAGGGATCAGATGACACAGAGGTTTGTGTTCCCTGCATTTGAGCTTTATTCTCAGGGCTTGGGGGAAGATGGAAGGAAGAGGGGAGTGATGAACAGTGGTGGAGATGGAATGTGTAATGACCAGGGACTTCCTGGAAGTAGTTTGGGCCTAGACATATGTGACTTGGGCCAGAGTAGGTGGATGGGTCATTGGGAGCAGAGGCATGGAGGAGAAGTGCAGGGTACTTTCAAGGACTGGGAGCCAGTGCGACTGGGGCTAAACGGTACCAGGAGAGAAAATGGAAGTTGGAGAGGGGAAACGCTGTGCCCCATAAAGTGGGTGGAGGTGAGGGCCTGGTGGGAAGTACTGGAAACACCCCAGAGAAGGAACAGAGGCCCTCAGTGGGGAGCACAGTCCCTGCTCCCCACCTCAGATGGTGCCCCTGCCGCAGGAAAACCTCTGGCAAGGGTTGGCGGTGGCAACTCTCCCAACTCATGCCCTCTGTCCCCGGGTGGAGCATGCCTCCTGGGGCTCGGGCCCACATCCCACACCCTAGACTAGTTCTCAAAGCCTCTTTGTTACACTGGGCCTAGCTGTGGCCAGCCTGGATCTGATAAGGCCAGGTAGGGCAGATAGCAGCCCCACCCTGCTAGCCTGCACTGCCTTAAGCCACACCCAAGCTGCCTCGCACGCACATATCTTCTGCCCCAGGTGAACATAGACATAGGGGGCTTCCCACCCTGGTTAGTGTTGGGGAGCCTCAACCTCTGGCTGGCCCTCCCTGCAGTCCATTTAAGACCCCTCTAATGTACATGCAGAAGCAAGATAAAGGAATTATCCCCCATTCCAGAGGTAAATAAACTGTCTCCAAGAGGGAAAAATGATCTGTCCACAGTTATTTCTTCCACAACCAGGAGCATCAGTTGCTAAGTCTGCTATTTACATTATCTCCTTAAATCCTAATGTCCTGTGAAGTGAAATTATACCCAATTCCTACCTTGCAGAAAAGAAACTGAGGCCCAGAGAGGTGAAGTCACTCTCCCAAGGTCACACAGTAGCTGAGTCCAGACCAGAACTCAGGTCCCCTGCAGCAGCAAACTGAAGGAGGTGGGAACTGATGAGTTACCATCCCGGAGGAATGAGAGGAAAGCACTCTCAGCCTCAACCAAAAAGATCTGATGAGGCTGGGAGTGGCCAAGAATCTTTCAGGAAGCTGGTCCCAGAAAAAAATTGTTCTACATGCTGTGAAATGATCTCATTTTGATGGGAGTGGCAATGGTTAATATATGTCCACAAATTATTTGCCACTCCTCTCCCCTTGAATCTGGCCTAAGGCTAGGTCAGAAAAGGTCACGTCGCTTCTGCCTGCTTCTACCCTGAGATTGCCAAGCTGGAAAGGCTATGGATGGGTGTTTCCAGCCGTAGCCTAGCTGAGCTCCCCACTGACAGCCAGCATCAAGGGTCAGCCATGTAAGTGTGCCATCTTGGATGTGCAGTCCAGTGGAGCCTCCAGAAAGATGCAGCCCTGGCCAACATCTGAATGCAACTGCATGAGAGAGTCCAAGCGAGAACTGCCTTGCCAAGCCCTTCCTGAATTCCTGATCCACAAAATCATAAGCAAAATAAAATGGTTGCTTGGAACCTTGGAACCTTGATATAATTTCTTACACAGCAATCATAACCACAACAAAGGGCAAAGAGGGGGTGGGAACTGATGAAAGCATCTCCTGAGGCTTTCCAGAAGACTTTAATACACTTTTAAACAAAAGCTTTCTAAAAATGGAGCATGCATGAGGTGGTGCCTTTTCATCTTCTAATGGGGTAGTGAGAACACACACTGACTTGGAATAAACTCGAGGCAGATAGAGAAGGAGACAAAGCGGAGGGTTGGATAAGCACATGTCTCCACACTCAATTGACTGAAAGGATGTTATATATCTGCTCTGGTAGTGGGATCTCTGGTGATAGCGAACTCTTGGAGGAGTGACAAGCCTTCTGGAAAGAAGGAAGCTCAAGGATCTGGGCAGCGGGTAGCAAGGAGTTATACATGGTCAAGAAGGAAGGCTGTTAGAGATTTAAAAAAACCCAAATGTTTGATGTTGAAAAAAGTGCTCAAAGTTTGTGGCCAGACCTGAGAAAGGGCAGGACATTCCCGTGGACAATTGCTGGCCACATTTTCTCAGAGTGCCCATACAAGCAGAAGCTTGCAGGGCCTTGGCAAGAAGGTCCATGAAAATAAACTAGAAGTACTCTTTTACCCTCATAAACTCCAGGTGTGTCTGCATCTGGCTTATGCACACATGTCTGAATGCCTAACTTAAGAAAACTTAGAGGGAGGTGACCAGGCAGGTCATAAGGAATGGGTACAGCTCAGGGGATTGGTTGAGAGTGTATGGGCGGATATGTTATGACAGGTTTCTTGGTTTTGAACTTAACGGCTAGAGAAGCAAAAGATGGGAACCATCAAAATCTAATAAAGAGGGGGAAATAGCAAGTTTACAGTGGAGAATCCTGGCAGACACCACTTTAGCCACATGATCAAAATTAACATCACCAGTAGTACATATTTGCATGATACCATGCATTGAGAAGGGCCTATCACCTCTGTGTAATGCTTCCCAATAATGCACACCTTGTTCTAATCATGACAAACAAACCCAGAATTGAGGCGTATTCTACAAATAATTGACAGTACTCTTCAAAAGAGTCAAGGTCAGGAAAGACTCAGGAAATGCCCCAGGTGGGATCCAGGATTGGATACTAAAACAGGAAAAGGACATTAGTGGACAAACTTGTGAAATCTAAATAAATTCTATACTTTTCTTAATAGTATTTTTCATACCGACATTAATTTCTTTCTGATAGATGTCCTATGGTTATGTAAGATGTTAACCTAAGGGGAAACTGGGTGAAGAGTTTATGAGAACCATCTGTACTATTTTTGTGTACATCCAAAATTAACCCAAAATTTTAAAAAGAAAAAAAACTAATAAAAACAGAATCTAATTGGCCAAAGCTGGGCTTCCATACCATCCTTTAAGTCCAAGCCAACTTCCACAACCAA